GTAAGAACAACACCGATCTATAAGAGAGGCACCTCCAGCAGGATTTCCTAGGGGCCTACTGTAAAAGATATGTGGCTTCATCTCCCTCGTTTCTATATTCCCCCTGAGTTCATTGTGGCCTCCGCTGGAAAAAAATGTTTTTCACTCCTGGCTTTTTTTTTTTTTTGTCCTTTTAGCATAAACAACGTGAAAAGACCTTTCTTTGTAAAGGTTTATTTGGAGGACATCTTTGCATATCGATTTCTTTTTTTACAGAAACAGCCTGCAAACGTTTTAAAGGGAAGCTGAAGAGGTCTTTGAACTCAAAAAGCAGTTAAAGGTCTTACGTAGGCACCTTAAAAATTATGTATCTTAAGCGTTCCGATCGTCAATGGAAACCTTGACGCTGCCTTGGCGGTTGCGCTGCGCTGAGGGCAGGAGAGCGCGAGAGTGGAGAAAAACTAGCAGAAGTGAGGTCATCGGCTGGGGCCGATGACTTTTGCGCGCCACTCGGCTGACTTGGGGATGCCGACGGTGACATAACGGCGCTTTAGACAAAGAACATCCGACAGAGAGTCTCGTGGCATGCCCTGCGGCAATCGCTGCACGTATTTCTACAAAATGGCTGAGGTTTACGTTTACTCCTGCCCATGTTAAGTGCGATAACTGAATTCACGAAACAAAAATATATGAAAGTCCGCTCCTAACTCATATTGCATGAGTATAGTGATTTAGCTTCCCTTTAACAATAAAGACAAAAAAAGTATCCGCGACAATAAATCCGGCGGTTTCGTTTTTTCGCAAGAACATAGGTTGGTGAGAACTGGGGGCTATGTTGCGCTTTCTACACTCCCAGGAGACTTGGAAGAGGGAAGTGACGTCAACAACGCAGCAAATGCAGATTGGATGTTGATTTTGTTTTCTCTGTCAACATCCAATCTGCGTTTGCTGTATCGTTGACGTCACTTCCCTCTACATCAGACAACCCTACATACTTCCGGATTGTCTGATGTCATGGTCCTACCGACTGAGGCCGTGTAGATTTATTGATATTGGTATTGTTGTTATTATCACTACTGTGAGCATAGGCTTTAAAATGAAGCGATGTTCGGTTAGTGTCTTGGAGAAATAATGTAAAGCTTCATGCAAGAAAAATCTCTTTACGGTTGTGTATCCGTATATGCTTGGTGTATTACCTGCCGAGTTTGAGTGCATTTTTAATGGTAACCTTTTCAAATCGGGTAAATAGCTGACGCAATTCATTCATATTTTCAAAATAAACTAATAAGATATTGTAACTCTTTGTCATAAAATAATATTAGTGATTGCTAAATATTTCAAAATCTAATGTTTTGAAATTTTAATTCATAAAAATTGATTTTATCATTCTAACTTAAGTATAATAATTCCAGATGCGTGGAATAGATTGGCGGATCAAAATCGTGGTCATTAAATGTAAAAAAATAAATAAAAAAGCTTAACTTGAAAGAAGTAACCATAATCCCGACGTGGTTTATAGGCGACGTTCGGGGTGTGCAATTTTCACACCCGTTGACTCGCTATAAATACTGTAACAAAAACGAAATTCACACCTTTGTACCGTGCATCTGAAGAAAGAAAAAAGACTCTTGTGCCTTGAAAATTGTTACCCATCCTAAACTATCAACAAGTTGAGAACGTGGCATGTAAAAACATCTAGCCTGTGTGTCAGCGATAGATTTTATAAAGAAAAAAAAAACACTCTTGATCTGTAAAAAAGAAATTGAAAGAGCACATAAAGTACGCGAAGCTAAAGTTTCCTGACGCTCTTGTACGAACGCTGAATGTCAAAGAACTATGCAGGTCCACATAGGCATGATTCAACCCTGCAGAGTTAAAAAGAATCTTTCCGCAGATGTTAGGTGAGCAAAAAAGAAAAAAGATTGAAAACGAATAAACAATATGCGGGGACGCGGCGCCTTCCCTTTGGCTCCGCGCCAGCTGTGCGCGCCTCTTTGTCGAAACCCAAATGGCTCCTTTTGACAAAAACCCTGCGGTGTCTTTCAGTTTGTCAGCTACGGCCCACGGGGAGAGAGGGGAAAAAAGGGGGAGAGGTTGACGCGTGCTGACGTCAGCGCTTCGGACCAATGCGAACGCCGTACGCATCACCCACTCCCCCTCTTTTCCCTATTTTCCTGTAGCTGACAAACGAAAGAGGGTTTTTGTCAAAGCGAGCGTTCTGACGCTGACGCATTGAACATAATAGTGGGTAGAACTCGAGGTATTTAGCATTGAGGTGTACCCACTATTCATCCAATCAAAGCAAATCAAAGCTGGGCGTCGTTCTCACGTCACTGCAACTCCTACGCGAGAAGCAGACGACTTACTCTCTGCATATATCCTATAGATAAAGTTCAAAATGCTGTAATCAGTGAAAACTTAAGAAACATATATCGTGGCAGGCCCCGAGCGCCTTATTGCTCACTCTTCAGCGATTCGAGTTGCAGCTTTGGCAGTGACAGCCCGCATCTGGCTGAATTGTCATTGTGCGTTCCCTGAGTGCTTTCTATGTTCACTTTTGATTGAAATTCCCACCCGTCCTTGCGTTTCGATGCTCCAAAGACGCGCTTTTGAACACTTGCTCTCCGTATAATCGCCGTAATCCTTAGAAAAAAAAAAAGAAAGAAACCGGATAATTTAGTACGTTTGCGCTTCTTGTCTCGTGATTTGTCCTCCGGCGTTCTTATCGCCTAATCAGGCGATCTCATAGGGGTGCAGATCCATGAGATGCTCGGGAAAAAAAATTGGGTTGTGTGTATGTCTATACAGCCTAGAACTTGGTCTGCCTCAAGGGGCGACGAGTCTCCCAGCTGTAGATGAGCAATTTAGTCAGTGCAGTACAACCTCTAGCCTGGGTCTTTAACGTGCACCACACAGTCGTGGCACACGACCGCAAGCCGGTACGATGCTCATCCAGATCGAAACGGGCAGGGGTGGGGATTGAACCCAGGATCCCTGGGTTCTGCAGCGGGATGGATCACGCCCTGAGTTTTCCGAAGTTAATTGTCAGTGACTGTAGTGGTTCGAATCGAATAGCGTTGTGTCATTCGTAGCATTCACAGTGCGCTCGAAATACCCACGACATAGTACTTTTTTTGCAATTTGGAAGCTAGGGCTGGTGCTGCGCTATTCGATTCGAAGCAATGTATACGAAAACCTTCGCATATATGCACTGATTTTTACAAGTAAACGGTTTCTGTGAAGTGCCGACTGCGTGACGGTGCAGGTTTTCGGAAACAAACGGCCGCGTACACAAGCAGAATGAAAAACAAAATGCCATTTTGTACCACGGAATGTGCTCCGTCATACGCAATTAGTGTAATTACTTCTAAAAAAATCGAAACAATTTTTTTTTTTTTTGGTGTGGGGGGACGTTGGTTTTCTTATGCCTTAATGGCGGCAGGGTACGATAGCTGGGTTTAACCTGGCACTCCGAGCAGAATGAGGACTTGCCTGATCGGCACCACCAGCGTCATAAATCGTTCGTCTCAGCTTTCAGAGACAACGACATGAACCATAAAGGTCAAGGAGTTATTTCCTTTTTGTTTTTGAGGTTATTCAGCTTTAACAAAAGTTCTGTCTCTGTCTAACCTGAAGGACGCAGACCCTTGCCGGCATTCAAGCTAAAGGTCGTCTAGAGTACGAGGTAACGTGCTAGACATGTGCGCCTTGACGTTAACGCGTTCTAGCATTGCGCGATTCCCGCCGCCGCGGCGCTCTGGCCAGCCGCAGCGGCAGAGTGGCGCGGTTCCACGAACGCCGGAAAGTTTCCGCGGCGTCAAAGCGGCAGCAGCCGCACTGGCCATTTACGGCGCGGCGGAGAACCACGTAACAGGAGGGGAAGCATGGAGGCAATGCTTGCGTATGAGATGGTGGTTTCAAATATATATTTATATAATTATTATCATTATTATTATTTTTTTTCAAGCAGAGGACGTGCAGGAAAATGTACGCAAACCACAGGATCGCGGTTTGCTTTTTTCATTCACATTGATGAGCCCAGCGTTTTTGCTTCCCCGGGTGCGTCAGAACTGTTCGGGAAATTGGGGAAGGGGATTCTGCTTCCCTTCCTCGGAATATTGTGGAAGGAATATGTGAAGCGTTCGAGCATATCTTATGCTCGAACATTTCATTCTTAAGCTGAGATTAGAAGCTCCGCCTTCATCACGAACTCGCTGGCTTCCCCAGTGTTTTGGTTGCGCATGCCTGCCCATTCACGCTTGCGTTAGCAAGGGCAGAAAGCTCGTGCTGAAGGTGGAGCTTCTAGTCTCAGCTTAAGAATGAACGGAGTATAATTTGCGGTTAATCCCCCCCCCCCCCCCCCCCCACATTTCTTTTTTTTTTTTCCCGGAGGTGACTGTATTTCTCGGAATCTTTCATACGAGGTTTCACCCTCCGCGACAACAAACTTGCACAAACAGATAAACAAATGATACGGAATTCAGACTGTTTCTGCCTTTTAAAGTAATATTTTGCATTAATAAACTAAAATTAAAAAGAAAACTTCAATCTAAGGTATCCAATTTGCTGTTGGAGACGGGCTAAAATTCCCCATGCGCGTCCGCCGCTTGCTGCAAGCAACGTTGGACGTCTCAGCGGCAGAGAACGCTCGTGGACAACACATGTGAAATGAAACCTCGCGATCTCTGTGTGCCGCAGCTATTTTTGCTGCCGAACCGTTGCATGTAATGCGCTCTCGCGGCGATGCGGGCGCGAGCGGCTTGTGCAAACTGCACGCATTGTTTAAAGATCAGTTGTGACGCAACGGCGTCGGCATCATAATATTTTTTTTTTTTTTTTTTTTGCCGCAAGAACAACAACAGAACGGATCTGCTTCGGCCAAAGAGCACTGCTTCCTGTTATTCAACGAATCGCAGCAGAAGAAAAGACGGGGAAAGTGATGACGTCATTCTTCATCTGTCTTCCGCGTGATAAAGGTTCCTGCAAAGGTCTCAGCTTGAGAAAAAGGAGAATCGAGACGGAATCGGTTAGTCGCAATGAAGGTGGTGTGCATAATCCTTTTGTTTGTTATTGCCGCTGGTAAGTAACTATCTTGACAGTTTACCATTCAACCTCAACTTTGTGAAGAACCTTTTCCGCATATAGGATACAACAGAAGCTTTAATATTTGTTTTTCTTCCATAGACGCACCGCTCTTTACAATCAACCGGGTTTACCACCGACTTGTAAAGTCTGGAAGTATTGAAACGTACTACACGCACAGTCGCAATTAGTGACGACTAGTCGGTATTGTTTCCCCCCTTGTTATTTTAATTAGCCCTGCTCAGATTTAGCTAAAAATATATATCCCTCCAACGTTGTTTTCGTTCTGCCATATTGTGTGTTGAAACTAAAAACTCAAACTAAAAATTATAACGGTTCGGCCATGCTTACGTTTACCACTATATTTATTAAATCGGTTCCGTTCCAGTTATTTCCTATTTGAGTATCTTTTTTTAATGATTAAGTATTCCTCGAAACCGGTTTTGTCGGGTTCACAAAAAAGCTAAAAAATGTATGTTCGAATTTTGAAACGCTTTAGGAGCACGTGATATACCGAATAATATTTTCATCCCGGAACAAATTTTCTAGCATGCGAACGAGCCTGCCAAAAATCCGCGTCCTCCTCAACCCAATTCAAATTCCTCATCGCGGCGTCTTTTTTTTTTCTTTGTAACATACGAGTTGAGGGCATTTTCGATAAATTTAGAGATGTCTTACCTTGCATGTGTATTACGATTATTAATGACCCCAATGAAAAATGTTTTTTATGACCATTGCAAACGCACTACATCGCTTACTTCGGGATATAGAAACTCAGAGCCCGGGAGTGTTATTAGAGAGTTTTAGTAGATCGTTCCGATACCTCCAATAGCCCCGATAACGATACTACGTATGCACAAGGGAGGCGGTGGCGGAGTATCGGGTATCGTTATCGGAGTCATGGGAACGATCTACTAAAACTCTCTAATAATAAAATATCGACCGTCATCTTTTTTTTTTTTTTACTTTTAAAATGGCCGCGTCCAGTGGCTGTGCTGGGGGTATTAAGACGAAGCGAACGTCATTAGGCCACGTGCAATAGCGGAGTGAAATAAGCGTGCGATTAACCGGTTGGATGATGCGACGACACTTCCGGTTTGAGGTCATCTAAAAAAGCAAGGAATGCAATCTCGTGCATTTTGTTAGTGATTCGGGCAAAAATTTCAAATTAGCATTCTGAAAAAAAAGTTTTATATATTTATCAGTAATGCAAATCATTGAAGACCCGTAGAAACTTTTTTTTTTAAATTCGCTAATTTTAATTTTTTATTTTTAGGATGTTTTTTAGGACGACAATACGACAGTACGACAATAGAAATAGTGATGCTGGGGTGTCAGTTTAACCCTAATGAAACAAACGATTAAAAAGGACGCTGACAGTACACAAAGAAGCTTTTTTCTCAATTTTTGTTAAAAGATTTATTATGGTGCCATGAGAATACCCAATCAATATTTTGCTACAATCACGTATATTTTAATAAAGCAAACTCAACTGCTCGAAACCGAGACACGAGCACGGAAGCTCATGGCCGGAAATCACGTAACTACACCCAACCGCGGTTTTTTTTTTTTTTTTCACTTCTTAGGCGTGTGAAGCAGTCGACGAAGTTGCGTGTACCGTTTGTCGTGAGAATGTTTCGCACTTATATCCCTTGCGCTCGATGTTCTGCGCTTGAAGATCGATATTGACCGGTACCACGAACGACAGTTCCGAAGTAGCGGCCCCACGTCTATCACAACATTGGCCCGTCGTGCGCCACCATCGCGTCCTCTAGCCCTCGGCATGCCCGCGGTTCATGGCCATACTGAGAATGACGTGTACATGTACTTTCATTATTCTGTGAAACTTTTTTTGTTTTTTAGATCAACATATTTTAAGTTTTTCGGAGCCTACAATATTAGGGTTCACGTTCATTTCGATGTTTGACATTGAATGTGTGCCTTATAGATGGCCGGCGACCTCGAATACATTTGGTACAGATAGTTTGAAATCAACGTGACCATGGAGGAGAGAGTGAGCACGACTGAAACCGGCCAATTCTCGACCGGCTGTTTTCGGTCGGAAAGGAAACGAATTTCGAGCTGCACATTGTGTTTTGCGTAGTTCGGCTCTTCTAGGCCATGTTCAAATAAAAACCTCGGCAAGCATAAATGCGTTTTCAGTGTAACCTTAACGTAATGAACGACGCCCGGCGTTTTTTTACCTTGTCGATGACTATTGATGACAGCATTGACATTAGGAAAAACAAAATTCAAATAATGAATTCAAGTTTTGCAGTAATTTAATTCCTTAAATATGTATTTTCCTACAATTTAGCATGAAGATTTATCTTCGCGACTGGTTTGTTGCGTGCATCAGTTACAACATGCCGGATATATTTTCTGAGATTGAAAATTGATAACGTGAACTAACCAACAATATGATTCGTTACCTCCTGGGTGATACCACGGATCTCACTAATTTGCAGGAAGCAGTGGGAAACAAATCTAATGCCAGCTAGATAAGCTTACATCATTAATATCCACTTATCTATAAGCGGACATTATTTAATGTTAGGTTATCTATACTCCGTGTCATGCTTAGTATAGACAATTGCAAGCATTGTGCCCCGACTGGTGTTCCAGAGTGAAGCCCGTGTAGCTTGCACGTGAGCATGGCTTTGGCAAGCTCCAAATTGCACGGGCTTGTCCGCGCGAGCGAAGACATGGCGACGGCCATTGGCCTCGCCTGAAAAAGCGGCGAGATGTTTCGGTGGCGCCCTCCTACAGTTCCCTCTCGTGACGTCATTATCTTGCGAACAACAAGTTCGATGGTGTTTGTAAATAGCATGGCGGAAGCTTGAAATCAGTGCATTCTCAAAGCAACAATGCCAACACCGTCAAAATTTAAGTTCTCACATTCCTCTTATTTTCTTCGAGGAGAAATCCTTTGCTGACGTCATAGTCAGAATTCGAAAAATCGTTGCAGGCCTACCACAGCGACGCTTTCGATAGCGCGCGTCGCCAATATAACTCCGTCAAAGCTACTGGCGCAAGTGCGTGGTCTCATCTGCGGTTTCGTTTGCGCTAGAACGCGTGCAGATGATCATAGAGATCCAACCCCATGCTCGCACGAGCAGCATTGACAACGTTGTACACTAAGTATAAAGCAGAGTATAATTCACATTAATTAAGTTGACATGTGTCTACTTATCTAGCTGAAATTATGGGTATATCCCTGTAGAAGAAGAGAAATATTAGCGCATTTCGCTCGCCATATATTCGGACGTTGCTTCAAAAAACTTGGGGGATTGGTGGCCAAGTGTACTAGTACAAACCTGGCTAAATTTAGCCAGGAAACTGATTTGGCGTGTAGGTCATGTAACGCCAAAATCCCCACTGAATATGGCGGGGAAAATGAATTGGTGTATACAATGTGACGTCAATTTCTCCGCTAAATTTAAGGAGGAATCTGAATTGTCGTTTGATTCACGTCACGTGAATTTTCTCGCTAAATTTAGCAGGCATACTGAATTGGTGTATCGATCAAGCTAAGCTTTCTGTAAAAAAAAAAATTGTCAAACTGAAAATGACGTGTTCAGGAAAGCATACGACATTGTGTTGTCACATTCATTGTATCAGGGGGAAATGTTTATTACAAGCACTTCAGTGTGAAAAGTTAAAATCGACCAAGCAGTTACAAAACTTTTAAAATTATTTTACAAATATTGTTTAATTTGTTTCTTCGCGGTGTATATATACAAGACGTCTAAAACGGTTTTAAGAATAACTTTAGAATAAGAAAGTTTAATGGAGATAGTTCCCGACTTAGAGCCACACATATTATATTACTCATTTATTATTTTGTATTACAGATATTTCAAGTGCTACAGAGTTAGCGAAAACCAAAGGTGAATAATCAAGTCATACTAATAAAAGAGACGAATTCCTAAGATGTCGTGTTTCTGCGAGCATTCTTCCGCTTACCCAAAAATATCTCTCGATTTTTATGGCTAAATATATAACTTTTTTCTGGTGTATCATAGGCGATGCCGGAAGTCCAGAAAAATTGGGACTTAAGTTTCCCAAGTTTATCTCTAAGCCCAAAAATTTCGCCTTGAAACTCCTGAGGATTTGCAATCAATATATTACAAACACTCTTAAAAATACTGAGTCTAGCACAGCGATAAATGACGTACGTATTAAAATTTTAATATTAGCTTTAATACCTCACTGAATCTCGCCTCATGTTATTTACGTTTGTTTGTAATAATTTTTAGGAAAAAGTGGACTTCAAGAACTGTACATTTTACTGTAAATATAATATTAACAATGGCAATTATATTACTGTAACATTGCCAATGCCACCCGAAACGCCCTGCGGACCGCAAAATCAGGTAATAATCAATCATTTCAACCAGAAATTTAAAAAAAATATACGAAGCCGCATATACGTTTACTTAATTCTTAATCCCCATATTAGTTTCAAGGTTCGCTGAAAGTACCAAATGCTCAGTTTTGCGTAGTTCTCCTTTTAACAACTGCTACTTTGATTGGCTTTTTGGTCGAAAAATATATTCGCTATTGTTCGCTTCGCTTTATTTCCGAAACCTTGTGTGCGAAACCTTGTATTCCAAACCTTGTGTGCGAAACCTTGTATTTTAAACCTTGTGTGCTATACCTTGTGTTAAAAAACCATGTATGAAAAACCATGTGTGCGGAACCTTACACGCGAAAAGTTGCAAAAACACGTATTTAAAAGAAATATCACAAAGTCATTGTCGAGTGCAAATTCCCTTTGGAGTTAGTAATGTGAACGGTACCCGGGGCGGTGTCCCTCCCGTCACCTACCCTTTGACTGCCCAGCTGCACCCCCTTGAGCACTACACCCGGGGCGGGCCGCCAAACCCCCCCCCCCCCCCCTGTCTCCCCCCTCCGCCACCTCCAAGTGAAGCCACTGCGAATTCCTAATTTTCCCATCCTCTTTTTTTAGAGCGCAGCTCTTAGGGGCCCGTTCCCGGCTTGAGCGGCGTCGCCAACGGCGTCGCCGTCGCCGTCGCCGTCGGCGTCGGCGTAACCGCAACCCTCGTAACCCTCGTGAGGGTTACGAGGGTTAATCTCATGAGGGTTACCCTCACGAGGATCACGAGGGCCACGAGGGTTACTTACCCTCGTAACCCTCACGAGGGTTACGAGGGTTAGTTACCCTCAAAAGGGTTACCTTCACGAGGGTTACCCTCACGAGGGTTACTTACCCTTGTAACCCTCACGAGGGTTACGAGGGTTAGTAACCCTCGTGAGGGTAACCCTCGTGAAGGTAACCCTTTTGAGGGTTACGAGGGTTAGTAACCCTCGTGAGGGTAACCTTCATGAGGGTTACCCTCACGAGGGTCACGAGGGTTATGAGAGTTACCCTCACGAGGGTTACGAGGGTTAGTTACCCTCACGAGGGTCACGAGGGTTATGAGAGTTACCCTTACGAGGGTCACGAGAGTTACCCTCACGAGGGTCACGAGAGTTGCCCTCACAAGGGTTACTAGGGTTACCCTCACGAGGGTCACGATGGTTACCCAGGTCGTGACCCCCCCTGGGGTCACGTGACCTGGGGATACCCCCCGAGGTCACGTGACCCCCGTTGACGTCATAGGCACTGATGACGTCGTCAGTGACGGCACTGATGACGTCACCGGCATCCGCATCGTCATCGTCATCATCACTGATGACGTCATTAGTGACGTCACTGATGACGTCACCGGCATCCGCATCGTCATCATCATCACTGATGGCGTCATCAGTGACGCTACTGATGACGTCATCGGTATCGTCACGTGGCCCCAGGTCACGTGACCCCCCGACGTCACGTGACGCCCCAAGGTCACGTGACTCCCACAAGGTCACGTGACCCACAAGGTTACGTGACCCCCAAGGTCACGTGACCCCCCGCCCCCCGAGGTCACTTGACCCACCCCCCAGTACCCTTCCCTCCTCCTCCTCAAGAGCTGCGCTCTAATTCGGCGTTACAGGGAGTTGTAAACGGCTTTCATTTTTTTCCTCAAAATTTAGTGCATTTAACATTTTTGTGTACTTAAGTGTACTGAAGTGACAATCCATCGGTTTTACGCGCCTATTTTTACGTTCATATAAGAAAGATGTCTGAATTTGTTTAAAGAGCTTCAAGCCCACTTTTAAGTATGTTCATTTACATTAAGGCACTATAATCAGTATTTGAAAATTGTTTGGGCAAAGTGCACTTTCGCAGCGTGTCCGTATAATCAACCATCGCGAAACTTACTGCAGTCTCTCGCTAATTCAATTGGCTTCATATAACTTTAACTGTAGTCTATCACTTATGAGAATGTATTTATATTTATTTACTTATATCATAAATTTATCATTTATAAAAAAAAACAAGAGAAACGCTATTTTTTTTTATTTGGATGGCATTTGATTAAGTGATCACATACTTATAGTCCGAAACATAGTTCGGTCATTTCTAATTTTTTTTTTCATTATTAATTAGTACACTCTAAAAAAATCTTGTCGTAAAAAAGCTCTTAAGGGTTCTTCGGCTTGTTCATATTTTGCACCCTAAAAAGTTATTTTAAGCACCCCCCATAAAAGGGTTCTCCCCCAAAAACCTACAAGGGGTAGCACCTTTTTTTGCGAAAGATTTCTACAACACCAGGTTGCATTTCTAGTTCGCCAAGTGGCATTACTGCTCGAGGCGAAATAAAGCCCTTCTATCCTAAAGCGAAACCGTTATTCACGAGCTGAAAGAGTCATTGGAACGTCGAAGAACCTTTCAAGAACGGATTTTTTTAGTTCAATCAGTCTTTAATGTGTCCTGCCATTAACACTGTAACTTTCGCATTCTTACAGACATGCGCCCAAAAAGATAAATGTGTGGGGGACGTACCAGGATGTTAGCGTGCCCACGTCTCCTCTACAATACTTACATACTACTCAAGAGCCAATAAATAGCCTTTTTAAAGCTTTTTATTTTTACAAAATGTTTTATTATTCTTTAAAAAAACTTTCAACCTTTTTACTTTGGTGAAGAAGGAAGACCAGCGAAGCTGTACAATGGTGGGAATGAAGTAATGGCCGGCCGCAAGTTGGCAAGCCAGAGTGGAAAGGCTGGAAAGGTTGCCGCCGTCACTCATAGATGGCGTAAGCTGTCCAGAGTGTTGTGTAGACATTTATTTGCTAGCGGACACGATCCTGTGGAAACTAGCGCTTAACAGCTCCGCTGTAAAATTAATGGGGCCATGAGGTGAACTTTGGGTGGGAAAGATTATTTTAGATTGGGATTTTACTGTTCGCGTGTTATTTAGTACGCCTTTGTAGGATAAAAGAAAAAGTGTAGAAAGTCAAAAGCCTGCTTTTTGGTACGAAAATTAAAATAAATATAGCGGACTATTTCGTACATCCTTTCCTTCGAAATCTCTCCATCTTTTCAATGTGAAACAAGCGCGCTTCCCAAAGCGCGTCAACCGACCCCAGCTCACGCATTGTACAAGAGCGCTGCACCACTCAAACGTATGCGCCGGTCAACAATCAATCCGTCGACAAATATTTCACTCTTAAAAACAAAAGAAAAAGCTAATAATATTTACTAGGTATAAGCTAGTACTGGTTGTCATAGGTACCTAGTAACCGTAGGTAGTAATTAACGGTCAAGTTAGTAACGGTTACTAGGTCAAGAGGCTAGTAACAGTTACTAACCAACCTACCACAAAATACCGTTGATGTGCCCACTTCGTTCAAGCGCCCACTATTAGCATTTCCCGAGCCTGGGAATGTGCAAATTATACATTAAGCCCCAATTTGACCGGAAAAGCGCCCATGTCTAGATTAACCCAGTTTTGAATTAATGTGGGCTGGGCGCTCCCCCGGTATTTTACGGTAGTACATTTTACTACCATTAGCTAGTAACTAACACTAACTTTGACAAGACACAGGTGGCGCTAGTGAAAGTCAAATTCAAAATTGGCAAACAAAATAATTATCCCTGGAGTAGATGTTTCTTTCCACAATGTTTACATTCACATGGGCACCGCATTCATTTCACATTTGCACACGTACTATACAGTAAGCAAAGAAAATAAATTTTAACATAAAAGACCCACACACCCACAACATACAAGCGACGACACTCTAAACCAATCACTGCCCCCAATGGCTACCCATCGTTGTTTATACTGATTATTTGAAAGAAGTAGATTGGTCAGTGACCACCTCGTCCGTAAACGATGTCAAATATGGTGCTGCTTTCGCACCAATATTGTTCTCCAATATAGTCGCTAAATATTTTCAAGAAATGCATCTCTTACTAAAAGTAACGGTGCACAAAGTAGTTATTTGTGACACTATAAAACATTATGTGATTCCCCATAAGTTCCCAACAGTTATGTCCTCGCTTCCCCTCATACACTTCCCCACTTTGCGCATGCGCGTCTCCGTGACAACCGCATAGTCTCTGTACCGTATTTCCGCTTCCTGGTTTGTATTTTACGCTTTTGCGGTCACTGTCGCGACGAAAGACAGCTGCATTAGTATCATCCAACCACCGAGCACACGCAGACCGTGAAGAAGACGTTCTCGGTGTCAATTAGAAGCGTAGCAGCGAAACTTTTTAGACGGCGAAACCGATGCTGCTGAACCAGCCAAACGATTGCCGTCGAGCGGCGGATCCGGTGACGAGCGGACACTCGTCACCGACTCGTTAAGCCTATCCTCGGAGCAGTTCACGTCCACGCACACCCTCGCCCAGTCGAGCGCACGAACGTTAACTGTGCACATTAACACGGGAAAACGAAAACAGCTCACGACACAAGGCAAAAATGGCAGGTTCAGATCGCAGAAAGGAGTGTCTCGCAAACACCGACCGGCCCCATTCGGATTTGGATTTGAATATGCGGCTAACCCCTTTGTATCGGGGGATCCCAGCGTACTAAATCTAGCCAAATTTATCGTCTGTTATTTTCTTCTTGGTTTTCCTTCCACCAGTCTTCCAATCTCCTTTTTGCTCATTCCACCACCGGTATGGGCCGCGGGCCCCTGCCCACAGTACTGTCGCCGCCGTCGTTTTCTCTGTCGTTGCCTCCTCGTCGATCTCCCGGAAGCCCAACGCCACCGCTATGTCTCCGCAGCTTGGCACCTCCGGCTGCAGGCCTGTGCACTCCAGGATGACGTGCTGCAGCGTTTCTTCGGCCCCCTGTGTGCACAGGGTGCATCGCACGTCGGTGTCTGTGCACCTGGCTCGAAGCACTCGCGTTCGCGGCATGCCTCCTCGGGCGTCGAACAGAAGTCCGCTGCCCCTGCCGCTGTTCATAAATTCTACCTTCCTCACTTCCTGTTTTTCTCTGGTGTACAAGGCAAGTGCCTGCTTTTGTCCTGCCTTCTCCGCCCACCGTTGACTCTCGGTCTCGGTGACTCTCGTGCGGATGTTTCCCAGTTGTTGTTCTGGAGGCGGGTAGAGTAGAGTAGAGGGCTGTTCATGCGATACTAAAGCAGACGCATCAACCGCTGACAAAGGTGAGTAACAAGCTATATTATTAAAAGCCTGGTCCCTGTGAAGCTTGCATGTGTGAGTAAGACAAACGGCCCCCCTTGATGTGAATAAATCATTACCTTTTTCTAATACATTGCAGATACGAAGAAAAACAATGTGCAACTTCGATTCCCTAATTATATTCCTAACCACCAAAAACTTGCCTTGGAACTTTTGAAAATTTGCAAGGATAGCAAATCTCGTAACTCCCTTAATTCCCGTTCATCCGATGATAACTCTGTGATAAACGACGTACGTAAAACGTTAAGATACATTAATTCGTTCAATGCGATTTGCTGTTGTTTTATGCAGTTGTAATTTTGAATACCTTGCAGAAATACGTGGACTTCAAGAACTGTACATTTCCTTGCAAACATGGAAAGGATGTTAACGTGACATTGAATTTGCCAGAAGACACGCCTTGTGGACCGAACGGACAGGTATATATTATTTAATTTAAATCAGGCGTCCCAAAGATTATAAGTGGGCACATTTAACTTTATTTAATCTTCATAACTGCGGTTTAATGATGAATACATAGTGCACAACGCTGTCAAAGCTCACAGCGCGATAATTAGGTTTAATCTCGTTGATCATTTGCGCGCGTTCTCGCGCAAACGAAACCATTGATGAAGTAGCTTTGACAGCGTTGTACACTCAAGGCCCCCACGCGCAGTTGCGTTTGAGAGCGTTTGAGAGCGTTTCGCTGCGTTCCGGCTGCAAGAAACCCGGACATCCATGCTTCTAATGTCGTGTGCCAAGCTATTCCTTGAATTGGATTCCACGCTCCATATGGAGCACAGATGTGCCGGTGACTCGCTCTCGTTTTTCGACGCGGCACAGTCAAACGCACTCAAAGGCTCTCAAACGCAAATGTGCGTAAGGGCCTTAAGTAGGAAATGAATTATAGCGCTATAAAAAATATATACCGTGATTCTTCATTATTGCAACAAATATAAGTTTCGAAACTGATCGAAGTATTTATTTAGCATATTAAGAACTTGGTTATTTTGTAAACAGGCTTTAGCAGAAACACACGAAATGATCTGGTAAGTAGGCTCACTTGCCTTGTCAGTCAATGGACATTAGAAAATGCGTTGCCTGATCGACCACGTCCGGTCCGCACCAATGCATTTGATCGAAGACGATGGGGCCAACCTCGATACCCTGGTGCGCACTGGTGCGGATGATCGAGGATGCTATTATTTTCGCGTTTATGTTTGCTTTTTCCTTCGTTTGGGAATATTTCTGCAGCAAAAAACAAACATACACACACGCGCGCGCGCGCGTGCACGCACAAGGAACATTTTTAGCCTCTAAGTATTCCGCGTGTGTGCGTGTGCGTGTGCGTGTGCGTGCGTGCGTGCGTGTGTGTGTGTGTGTGAGTGTGTGTGTGTGTGTGTGTGTGTGTGTCACCACGCACACGTATCACGCTCAGGACGCTTTCGCGTTTTGTTCTGCCCACATTCGCTGGAGACGTGAGCTCGGAGCATGGCTCCTCTACACGAGAACTGGCGCAGCCGTGCGCGTTCCAAAGAGAGCTCGTGCAGAGAAAAACAAGCGAAGGACCAGGGATGTCAGATTCAGGATATAGAAACATACCCGACTGTATCGAAGCGCCACCACACACGATTTCTCGCATTGATGTACAAGACTGGAAGTAGGGAGTCTTCATCCACTTTCGCCACGCACATTGAGGCACCCTAACTGGAAGGCAATCCCACCGCCATCTGTTGGTTCGGAATTACACTAAGCAAAGGTGTGGTGGCACCTTAAATAGAGAAGCTGAATGGCGCCCGTTTTTAGAGCCCAAGAATGGTGGAAAGCGGCAATCTTATGTTGAAATTTTCGTAAAATTACTTATAACTTGTAAATAAGATAACGGATGGTTCTCAAATTTTAGCATCTTGTCGGGACAGCTAGAGCCACACTTGAGCAGAACATGAGCGTTAGGCGAAGCGTAGCTTATATTTGCGGTAAAAAAAAAGGACACACACACGCGGTTTACTTTTTTTAATGTGTGTTGGCGGGCCGGGGGGGGGGGGGGGGGGGGGAGGGAGGGGGGGGCAGTGCTGTACAATTAAAATTAGAATAAAAAAACAAAACAAAAAACTAATCCATGCAGCCGTGTGTTGTGATATCGATACTGCTAGAAATATTTCATAGTAACAACTTAATTAAAAAAGACAAATACCGGAATATTTGACTCTTTAATTGTATCTGTGCCTTGTTAATATCTTCATAATAACGAGACATGTTTGCGAGCTCTTCATGAGGTTTATTTTCATAGCGATCAAGCCACACATTCCTAGGCATGAGAATTTACGTTATAATAAATAACATTCACATGCTTAGGTGAACAGGAACTGATACTTCGTGTATTGTTGGGTGACTGTCATTAACTTTTAAGGAATTGTTTCCACCCTGATTTTTTAATGATGCAAGGTCTTAAAACAGCTGTGATAATGTCCCACCACTAAAATGGTCAGAAATGGAAAATTATTTACGCGAACAGCAGGTTCCAGGATGCAGCCACTGTGAAAAAATATTACAGTTAATACTGAAATTGTTTCCACTGATAGCTGTCACATGGTTCTTGTTTTTACCTTGGAACACCACGAACAAGATTATGTTTTATTTCCGAGTACGACATCCTGACAGAATATGAGAGTCATCTATATTAACTTTTTTGCTATGCAGATCTCACACTAGTTATAGTTGTGCTCTTCAACTCAGGTTGTGATACTCATTCACATTGTACATTTTGATATTAAGAAACGACAAACAATGCACCGATTATTTTCGCCACATAAATTTAATGTATGCAAAATACACAACTGAGTTATTTTTTTTCTTCACTATTATAAGTAGTTCATTTGACTATAATTGTGTTAAGAGTAAGAAGTATGAACCTGGAAATTTTCACACTTCACAGACATGCGCTGAAAAGAATAAATGCGTTGGCCACATTCCCGGATGTTAGCGCTCCTCCAGCCACCTTTTCAGCCAGGAAGACGTGATTTAATCAACTTAAATCAACCAATGAAGACCGTTATTAAAACTTCAGGAGAAGCGGCTGATGTAGTTATCACGAAATGTAATCTTAATATCAATAAAATATTTTTACATAACGTCCAATGGGTGCCATTTATGTGTACACTTCTCGATACAGCTATCACGGAAGCGACATCCGCGCTTTTTTTTCTTTTTTTGCATGTCACTTGATAGTTTATTGTTGATCATCAAAACTTTACAACCTATAGCTCCGTGACGAATCCCGATCACTTAATTGTCACTTTCCAGCCAATGAGAAGGCAGCATTATCCGATAGGGACTCCGAAGGACGAATATCATGGTAAAAAGCTGCCACTGGTTATACATTGGTCTATGTATGCGTTAACACGTTTCATCACCCTAAACAGGGATATAGCGAAATATAAACATTATTCTCATTGTCTTGCGCAGGTTCAGTTTAGGAACCATACATATTTTCCCTCTAATTATGCCTTTCGCCGGAAGTGCGACTATACAGACTGGCCCACCGCGTGCTTTGCGGCAAAGTAAATGGGCAGGAACAGATATGCAAGAACTTGCAGGGGGACTTTATTTGAGCTAATTACATCAAATATATATATATATATATATATATATATATATATATATATATATATATATATATATATATATCATGAAACTTTAGAGCCTCACGCAATTATAAAAATACTTGTAAAATTACACCAAAAAGCAATGCAACAGCTAAATTGAATATATATATTATTAAACTTTAGAGCCTCAAGCAATTATAAAAATACTTGTAAAGTTACACCAAAACTCAACGCAACAGCTAAATTTAATATATATATATAATCTTCAATTTAGCATGTGCGTTGTTTTTTTGGTGTAATTTTACAAGTATTCTTATAGGTGCTTGAGGCTCTAAAGTTTTACGATATTCAGATCGCCTTCAAAGCTCCTCTTCCCGCTTTTTCTGTGGCATGATTAGGATAGTTTTTTTTTTAAATTATTTGCTCAGTTGCATAAACATTTGGGTAATGAAAATTTAAAAAAAATGTTCGGTACAAGAAGCTTAAATTTGCAGGCCTACATTTATTTAACCATACAGAAATCATAACACGACAGATACAGGTAACACTAAAACTGCACGCATGCCAGTGAATTTTCATCCTATAGAAAACGCAGAAACCGGAGTTAAAAAAGAAAACGCACAACTGTATCAAGCGTTACTATAAAGTCGTCATTATCCTCAACCACATTTTGTATTTTCCCTGCGTGCAGTAATCGCCATTAATTCGTGTCATACTGCGATGTCATCACCAACTTCTCATATCTAAAGCTCCTTCCTCTTGTAATAGTACTCATACGTTATTATACTAACTAATAAGAACCCATAAACGGAATCCGACATCAATTTTTGGCCAATTTAACATTAACAATTAAGCGTGAGGAGAATCACTGTTTAAATTAAGATACGCTGTTCACGAGCACATTTATTATACAAGCTCGCGGTCAATTAAGAAAGCCAAAAGCTATCAATGTCCTCATTAGATGCGCTGTTGTACGGAACCTTGAAAGGAGAGCGTGACACCGCCCTCACGGTCTCGAAGGTGAAGGGGCCGATGAGGTGAGTAATCGTTGGTTTCTGTTCACCTGCAATGAAGCGCAGAGTAGTGGCCCTAGTAATTCCGAAAACATTTGTTTGGTAAACATACTCAATATCTTAGATAATTACTAACATTATTCAAATTAAAGCAAGACGCTTAAGACACGCGCGTGAGCATTAGTGTTTCAATTCTATGTCGGCATTGTAAGTCTCTGTAAAAAAAAAATATTTTAAAGGCACATCAACGTCCGAGAAGACTTGATGGATTATTAGGTGCATGATATATCCAATAGTAAAATTATAGTGACGGCAATTCTTTGACAGACACAAAAAATCGTCGTTTTGCATAATAATCTAATGGGAACCTCTTACAATGACCACCCAAGAACAAATTACACATGACTGCCTCATTTTTTTTTTATTAAGGCGAACACCTTACTTTCGCCTTAATAAAATATATGGCCATAAAAATTCGATTGAGCGGCACGCACCGCTCAATCGTATGCTTAAAGACGACGATCTCCTTGGCGTCGTCCTTGAAGTTGTCCTAAACCTCTAGGACGACCTTACTTGTCCCATGACGCGAAAAAGCGGCGTCGTTGTGCCCGAAAGATGATCATAAAAATACGTCATCAAGCACGCGCTGCTCACGCTCACGCTCAAGTGCGGGAGCGTGATGTCACCGGATGAGCGCCGTGTGCAACATGTGCGCTTCGGACTTCATCTGTGCTCGTTGTGTGCTTCGTTCGATGGACTGTGAGGCGCCCGCGTCTACATCTACATCTTCGACGTCGGCAGCATCGCCTACATCTACGGCGGCTTCCGCAGGCAAACGCAGAGATGGCAATAATGACATTACTGTAATGAAATTACAGTAATTAAATTACTTTTTGGAGTAATGAGTAATGTAATGAATTACTTCTCCGGGCTAGTAATTTAGTAATGTAATGAATTACTTTCAGGCAGTAATTTCGAGAAAATAACTCATTACTTTTGAAATTACTTTTGTCCTAAATTAAAAAAATTCGTTTGCAAGCTTTAAGAAAGACGAGAAACATTATTTTGCATGGCAAAACGTTGTGAAAGAGCATCAAAGGGAATAATCGACGGCCACCTGAGTGCAAAGCCTTGTACGAAGAGCTGGACATACACAAAGGAGGGCTGGAAAGGCGACGGAGAGTACGGCGTCGCGTCATCACGACGGCACTATACTTCGTTCCTCTCTAAGCTGACAATGCGGTGGGAGCTGCAAGTAATCAAAACCAATCAAACACCTTCTTTTAATCACGTGTCTCGTCCCTCTCTTTGCGCGTGGGTATGAACGAGAGCTTGGTTAAGTGGCGAACGATAGACCCGTGACTGCTCCAACAAACACGTAGTTTCCACCGTTCATCCCTAAGCTGACGGTGCGTCAGCTTAGGGATGAACGGCTCCTAAGCTACAAGGCGACGGGCACATCGCCAGTACGTTAAACATAATTTAAAACCTGAGAGGACAAGACAAACAGATCCCCGGTCTTGTACTTTCGTCAAGCAAGGTCAAACCGTAAGCTTCGACCATTGTGAACAACAAATGACCGGAATAAATAGCTAATTCAAAACGCCTTGCCAAAGCCCCAGAACGTTTTGTGCGTCCTCGAGGAAAGCAGGTGCCGCTCGCGGCATGCCTCGCTGCCTTCCTTTAGGAAGTTTATTCGGGAATAAGCCTACAAGCAGATATCACCCCCCATTTGTTGGGAAAGCACACAACTTAAGAAGCTTGCTCCATTCCTCAACTGGCGACGCTTCTGCCTAGCAATTATCCGGGCTCTTTGTGTGACAATGCACAAAAAACTTGGGCTCTTCGGGTGTTTCGAAAAAATACTCCTTGAAAGAAATGAGCGAGAATAGGTCAACAATTCTCGGCGACAACTATTCTTGTCAATGAAGCGGAGGGTACAGGCACGCGTTCCCTCTCCCATTTGGAGCACTGAATAAAGCGGTGGGCGTGCTCCCCTCCTCTCCACTGCATTGCCAAGAAAAGTTATCGCCGAGTATATAATGCTCTCGGGAGAATAGAATTCGACTACGTCCGAGGCAGAAGCGAGACGTTTCACGTGACGACTCCTTGTAAGAGCGAGCTGCCATTGCCCGACTTAACAAACTGACATGGACTACAACTTCTATATCAGAAAGATGGAAAAATAACACCCATTTAGTAAAAACCGTCACCGTTGAATAAACAGCGAAACCGGTAAGTCGACTGTCTTTAGGTTCACTTTGAGGCACTTAAGGTTATTGCGGTGTAAACAGGAAGATGCCAGTTTTGGTAAATATAGACCAACTCAGCTCTTTGACGTGACATCACTGCGGTGGCGCTGCTGTCGGTATTGCGCATGCACAACGCCTCGCTTCCGCCGGATCTGGTTCCTTGACACTCGCTGTGTGGGCGAACGAGGGGTTGTTTGTAAACACTGTGTTGGTGTATACGGTAAATAAAATGAGCACGATTTACTGCCTCAAGGTATTCAAAAGTAGTACCAAAGTAATTTGAAATTAATTTTATTACTTTTGGAAAGTAATTGTAATGTAATGTCATTACATTTAGTCTGCGGTAATTTATAATGTAATTTAATTACATTTTTGCAGTTGCCAGAAAAGTAATTAGTAATGTAATTTAATTACTTCTTCAAAGTAATTTTGCCATCTGTGGGCAAACGTGGCTGCCCACGCGAATACGCCACAGCCTCCTTAAGTGTCCTCCTCTAGGCGTTGTTCTCGACGTCGTCTAGACATCGTCCTATAAGCGTCGTTCTTGACGTTGTCCTAGACGTCTTCCTTAAGGTCGTGCTACAGGTAGGTCGTCCTAGAAGTTGTCCCAGACGTCGTTCCTGACTCCGCTTTCTAGGACGTCATCCTCGACGTCGTCCTTGACGTTGTCCTAGAAGATGTCTTAGAACTCGTCCTTGAGGTCATCCGAGAGATCGTCCTCAGCGTCGTCTTATAGCGAGTTCGTTTCACGGCACTCGTGCCCACGCGTGCTCACTCGCAGCGTGGAGCGGGTTCGTTTCGGCATGGTTTCGGCTGGCACTCCATGAGTGGTCGCACTCGCCGAGTTCGTTTCATCTCTGACACTGCACGCGTGCATGCACTCGCAGCACCGGGAAAATGGAGAGTGCGCCAAAATGCAATCCCGTCATGCCTCGCTCCGGCGAGGCCGGCGAGGAGCGGGAGCAGACGACGAAAGTTCGTCTGCTAGATGTGTCACGGAACCCCAAGGAAAAAAAAGTAGAGTTTCTCATAGATATCGCGTTCCGCGGGCAACGAAATCAAACGCGAGCTTTGTGAGCGTCTGCTATTTCATGAAGGAAGCAATTCACAAAC